ATATTCGTTTAAAATTTTGATAGAATAGCAGCAGGATGTCCTCGTCAGTGGATATCAGGCCCTTGTAGAGCAAAATTGAGTATTTTGGTCTAAATAACCCAAAATGTGATGTCCACATATGTGGATGCCAGGAGGTTAATAAATGAAATCATAAATTTTAAAAATGCCTTTTTGTATTTACTTGAGGAGAGATTTTGGTTCACTTTGATTTGTAGAAGTGTTTTCAGTGACACTGGGCAAAGATAAACGAGCATAAACTCTCACACAAACACAAGATACATATTTTTACTGAGACACATATCTGATGTGTTTCTCTTGGTTTGACGTTGTGTTTATGCGTGTGTGCTTTAATAGCACGGAGAACCAGATGGAGATCATCTATACCTTTAAGGCAGTATTTGTCAAAACCCATTTTCATCATCTCAAGCAACAAAAAAGCATTAAGACTATCATTAAAAAACAAGTCAACCTCCAGATGTGTCTCTGCAGCATTTTATCAGTGACAGAAATTTCATAAAGAAGCAAAAAAACAACCTAGAATCAATTATTCCTCAACTCACATAGCAATCACTCTACGGTATACTCACTGAGTTGCAGATTACTGAATGTACTTTTAGAGATATCGTCGTTAAAGAGACAGTGACCAATGTGAACTCAGTTTTACTGATGTCAGTCCAAATTTTTTATTGCTTTTGAGCAGAGGGTTTGACGAGTAAGGGCCCAGTTAAAACAAAAAACAAAAACAACAATATATAATTCAGGGCCCGATGGAAAATGCACACATTCATTTCATTTTTTTGAGAATGCTGTTACATTTTTTACATCCTGACAGACGATGAATCTCATTCTGCGTTACGTTATGACCTAGTTTGGCACAAGTTTTTTTTAATTTAACGTTAAAAGTACACAAAAAAAGAACTTGTGCATTTCCAGCCTTTATCCCATGTTGTCTTTATATGACAAGTCTGCCACATACTCTCAAAAACTGAAAAACCAGCAAGGGCATCTTTCTTTCTTCACAAAGCCAGCTTACTGCCAGTTGACTGGCTGGATCAGCGGCTGATGCGGAACAGCACCAGATGTGTGTGTTATCTGTATCATCCATCCACATTTATTATATAAGAGGATCTGTCTGCAGGTAGCAGGCCATCTGTATGAAAAAGGACATGGAGCTGAGAGATCAAAATCATCTGTTCCTCTCTGTGTCGACACATGTTACCATTCAGACAGGAGTGTGAAAGTGGATTAGATGGTCACCCGAGAAAGCGGTGTACTTTCGTTAATAAAGCCACACCCCTGATTTAAGCCTGTCTAGACACCATTGATGTGTTTTTCTGTCATCTCTGTTTATTTGTTTGCTTATTTAAAAGGAACCCCATTAGTCTTCCTGGGGCCCAAACCCCCAGGAAAAACACTATGACAAAATACACAAATTTCCATTACAAATGACCTTACCCTCTTACAATATTTACAATAATTTAAAAGCTGCCTAAATAGGCTTTTAAGTCATTTTTAAAATTATGAATAGAAGCCAGTTCTCTAATTGCATAAGGCAACTTATTCCACTGAAAAGATGCTCTAAATATAACAAAAAGTTGCTTTTAACCGGAGGAGTTACCAAATGTACTATGATTATGCATTTCATCTGGATGCTGCAACTGAGCAGAAAACAAATATGGTGTGTTTACCAGTATTGCTTTCTTTAAAAATACAAGTAAGTCATTGTATAATTTGGCTTTTACAGAAAGCCAAGGAAGTTTATTGTGCATTTTATCGATATTTGTATTGTATGAACACCTTAACACTAATCTGGCCGCCTTGTTCTGGACTAACTGAAGTTCAGATCTGTCTTATTAGCTGCTGACCAAATGACTGAGCAGCACTCTAGATGAGATAACACTAGTGCATTAATGACATCTTTCATAACAGAAGTAATACAAAAGGAGCATTTCCTAGCTATCGCTATGCTCTGTCCCATTTTCCTTATAGCAGAGTTGATGTGCTGAGACCATGAAAGGTGGTGGTTCATGGTAACACCAAGTAATTTAGTCTGGGTGACCTGTTCTAATACCGATCCAGCTATGGAAAGATTTAGCTGTGAGCTGTTGACTAAGCGTCCTCTACTTCCTATTAACATGGATTTGGATACGTTTAAAATCATGTTGTTTTTACTTATTCAGTCAAATATGTTCAGCAAATCTTGTTGTACTGGTCAATTCAGAGTTGCACTGGCTGACAAAAACATGGTGGAGTCATCAGCATACATTACAAGATGAGATTTATCCAGGACGTACGGCAGATCATTCATGGAGACTGAATAGAGAAGTGGACCGAGGCAGCTGCCTTGGGGTAGAGCACAGTTCATTTCACAGCCCTCAGAGAAATAGCCATCATAATAAACCTGTTGCCTTCTTCCAGACAAATAACTTTCCATCCAGCACAAAGCAGCTGGTGAAAATCAATAACATTGTAGTTTATCTATCAAAAGATCGTGATTTATCAAATCAAATGCAGCACTAAAGTCCACAAATGCCAACCCGACCAGGTTCCCATCATCTAGATGTTTACACCAGTTATCTGAGCTGAGCTGGTGGAGTGACCAGGTTTGTAGGCATGTTGAAACTGAGTGAGTAACTGATTTTCTGTTAGGTAATGTTGGATTTGATCATAGACGATCCTCTCCATAATTTTGCTTAGAACAGTAATGGGTCTGCTATTGACACCATTAAAAACGTCGTTCTTGTTTTTAGGAATGGGAATTATTTTCGATTCTTTCCACTACAATGGAAATGAGCTGCATGCCAAAGATCTATTACATATGTGACATAGGGACACAAACTTGGCTGCAACTTTGAGCAGTTTGCTGTCTGTGTTACCAGAGGATGTATCGTCAGGAAGTGATATCAATAAACGCTCTACCATCTCAACACTCACTGCCTCAAACTTAAATTGGCTTTGCTTATTATTCACGATAACATCCTGTATAAGTGATAAGGTGGGATCGCCTCGGCTCATATTAGATTTTAAATGTGTTATTTTATTGCTGTAGTAATTAAAAACATTATTGGCCTTAGCTTCACTCATAAACGTTCCACCCGTGTAGATGTGAGACACCACCGGAGCAAGATCTCTACCCGTTATATTTAAAACTTCCCACACCTGCTTTCTGTCCTTACTGGCCTCCTTGAGCTTCAGTTGATAATATTCTTTCTTCTTGCACATATTCAGTTTAGTTACTTGATTTCTTAACTCGCGATATCTTGCCCACTCTTGTGGACTGACAGACTTATTTGCTTTTGCTATATCTCTTTCTGACGTTGCAGCCTTAAATTCATTATCTAGCCAAGTTCTTTTTAACAGTACATCTCCATACGGGGCATGTTTGTCAGCCAGGTAGCAAAAGTTTTTAATAAACATAGATAATCAGGGTCACGCTCGAGGCAGATGTCAGTCCAGTGAATTTCCTTTACATTGTCTGCATTGACATTTTTGCATGATCTGTGAAAAATAATCTTTTGTGCAGTTTTCAGTGGTTTCGTTTTCTTGGTCAAACCTACAATATTATGGTCACTATAACCAACTGGAACAGAAACAATATTAGAGCAATGCTCAGGAACATTTGTATATATATGATCAATACATGATGATGACCTATGACCTCCTGCATTGACCGTGACCCGGGTGGGAATGTTGACGATCTGAGACAGGCAACAAGCCGACGCTGATGAACTTTTTCCCTAAAGGACAAGAAGGAGCTGACCAACTGATGTTAAAGTCTCCTAATAAGATCTTGTCTTTGTTTTCCTCAGTTACTCTTTCCAGCATTTCACAGATTCGTTCTACATACAACATATTCTGTAGCAGCAACCTGCTAATACAGGCCTGCCATAGAGCGGGTGTAACTGAACCCACACAGTTTCCAGGTCGTCAAACATTAAGTCCATTCGTAGTTTGCTTTGCTCTCATTGATGTATATGTCACGGTTCTGGGTCCGTTGGACCCAGTATTTTGAGTTTATTATGTTTTGGTGTAATTTTGCATCAGGGATTGTTTTCTTGTTCTCTTGTTGTGTTAATGATGATGATGATTATGATGTTTATTATTAGAGTTTCATGTTTGTGTTTAGGATTTGTTCTTCGGTTGGGTCTGCTTAGTATATGTCTAGTTCCATGTGTCATTTTCTGTCTGTCTCTCAAATGTCAAGTCTGTGTCTTAGTGTGATGTTTCTTGTTCCTGTTTTATTGTGAAGGTCTGCGTCTTATGTTGGTGTGGGCAGCTTGGTTCCCCCCGTCTCGTTAACCCTGATCTCTCCCAGCTGTGTCTCCCTCCTGTTGCCCATTTGCTGATTACCACCCTGTGTATATTAGCCCTGTGTTTTCCTGTGCTCAGTGTCGCGTCGTACCCTCAGATTATGCCTGTGTGTTCCTGGTCTCCGGTTTCAGTGGTCACTTCACGTTTGGTTTTCATGTCAGCAATAAAGCTGAGGTTTTGAGTTTCACGTTTGTGTCTGAGTCCTGCGTTTGGATCCTCCTCTCCGCCTGCCCGCACACAGAGCCCTGACAGTATAGGCCTGTTTCTGTCTTTCCTATACAACTTATAATGAGTCTCGGAAATAGCCAGCACAGTTATTTGACTGTTTGTTGACAACAGTGACTGAATTTCCTGAATCTTATACTTAAGGCTACAAATATTAACATGAACTACTGAAAAATCTTAGCGGAGAATCCGGGAATAAGTACAAGGTCGGACATTTACAGACCGATCAATGTCAACAGCTACAAATGGCAACATTGCTGAAGTCTAAATGTTGTGGCCTTTGTAAAAAAATTAAAATACAATGTATAGAATGTATCTGGGCGATTTAAAAATACACTGTACTCTTCCTGAACAGCATGAAAAAGCAGATGCAGCAGGCACGTGCACGTGACATGATTTCAGCAACTGAGATAAAATCCTGGTGGATTTTGTAGTTTTGAATAAAATCTATTTTTCAAACACAATATCATTTAAAAAAAACTGCTTTATTTTAATCCCAATATTGTAAATGTCATTAAGCAGAAAAGCATCAAACATGAAGAAGGTCCTAAGGCTACAACTCAATTTAGCCTAATTTATAACAACAGGCTGATCAAATGAAACCAAAAGCATCAAGCACAGACTGGAAGACAGGAGCTTTTAACAGCTACATTTTAGAAAAGCAACACAAAGACTTGAAACAAGGCAAATAAGCCTTAGAAAGTAGGTTTCTGCTCCTTTGACATCAAACTTGCCTTGTCACACATTAGTATTTGTGCCCTTTCCAGAATTCCTTGATCGTTATGAAGCTACGTCTGGAAATGAAATGAAGACATGCCGTAGGCAACAGCGGTTCACCACCGAATCGCTGTAAAATGATAGTGAGGTAACGATGAAAGAGCCCTATTGTGTAACAGCTCATCACAGGACTGACCGTCACCCTGCAGCTAAATTCTTAACCATGAGTGTTTTTGTCAGTGATGTTCTGATTTTTCAACTCTGAAAGAGCACTTACTGTAGACAAACAGGACGGCATTTTCAGACAGACCACAACCACTTGCTGTCACATTTTGTGCTTAAAAATGACGTTAAACTATAAAACATTTCATTAGTTTCTTTGAAGACTAAGACATGTTGACTTTTTCCTAGAAGAGCTTAACTATAGTGCATTTTAAAGATTGTAGTTATAATGTTCTCCAAGGAAATGAAAGTAATTCTGAAGGGTTGATTACCACCTTTCAATGGCCTTTTACATCCTACCATCTTCAGGTCAAACACCTTCAGGTTTTGTTTGGTTTCATAACTTCTTCATAAATTCTTTAAAGGATTCTACATCCAGCACAACGTTGAGTGTTAAAGAACCAATAATGACAAAACAACTGTGAAGGTCTGCACTCCACTGCCTCAGCAACACAATTTCACAAGTATGAAAACATAGATACAGATACTGTACTCAGCTTTCGTAAATTACAAGCCTGCAAACTCTTCAACACTTTAGAAAATGTTAAATGGAAATCTGCACTTCACTTGTTTACAGCAGTATTTCACAAAGACTGTTGTTTTGGTTTCTTGTAAACCGGAGATGATTTTTCACTGGCATTCTCTGAACGTGAAGAAAACTCATTGAAAGGCGATGGCTGCCTCCGGCCTTGTGATGCCTCAGCCTGCGCCTGGTCTTTCTGCCACAGCGCCCGGGCGACCGGCATGATGCTAAAACACAGATATTCAAGTTCAGTTGAGTTTGGCTGAAATACTTGAGATTGAAAACGGTTAAGATTTCATGTAAAATAATTCTATATAAATCCTATAAACAGTGTAATAATTTAAGATACGAGATGCCATCTTACTTTTCATTTATATTCTTCTTGATGGTAGAGACAGCTCCTTCGAAAAAGAAAAAGGTGAAAACTCTCATGGTGTGCCAAGTCAACAGAAGAAGCTCAGGCATCTGCTTGAACAGCAACTCCAGCCTGGTGGAAATAGAGAGGTCACAGTGATTGCATCTGCATAAAAAGTAAATAACAAACTACAAGTACAGTAATGTGAAAAAGAAAATACGCTGTCTTTAATTGTTTTACATATTAGGAAATATCGTCTGGTCCTCACCAGAAGTTAAAATGAGATAAATACAGCTTCAGATGAACAATAAAACATGACACATTACAATGTGTAATTATTGGTTTAGCAAAATACGAAGGAAACTAAGCACACCTTTAACAGCAAGAGCTTTTTGTGTATGACTAATCAGTCTTTCACATCACTGTGTTGGGATTTAAGCCCATTTTCTTTACAAGATTTCTTCAATTCAATTAAAGTTGATCTATATATATGTGCCAAAAAACACCAATAATTGTCTCAAGGCGCTCTACACTGGAGACAGTGGGAAGGAAAGTTCTGGCAGAACCAGTTTGTATGGCGTGTTTGTGTCGACATGCTCTGTTTGGTTTTCTCTAAATATGGCGCAGGGCATTAAATCCAACGTCCCCACGTTGATCTTGGCTCTCCACAGTACATTGTTCCAGATGCAGCTTTGTAAACTTAAGGCATGCTGCGATCTTCTTTTTAGAGAGAAGAGGCCTTCTCAACTATTAGAAAAAACTCCTCCTTGGTCAATCTTCTCTAACTGTACTCTCATGAACTTTAATTTTTAACATGCTAACTTCAGTCTGTACAGTCTGAGGTGTAGCTGCTGGTCATCGTGCTGTATTGGGATGATTAGGATGTGTTACAGAGATGCTGCCTCTGTTTAAGGCCATAGTCTGACAATCTGGGACTTCTTTATTTTCTTGCAGAACATTGAGCGAGATCAGTCATTCTAAAAACAAAAATTAAGAAGCTAAGTAAAAAGCTGCAGGTTGCAGCTAATGTAGTGTTGCATAATGATAAACAATGGAAAGCACTGCTATCAGTAATTCTAAAAGGTATAAGAGACATTACCACATTATGTCTCTGCACAAAAGTAGGAATTACAGAACTCCGTCACCATCTATTAGCAGCCGTTTCCTGGAATTATCCAGCAACCTCATGATGATCACATCATCTCAGAAAGTTATGGTCATTAGTGAAACGATCGAGCTGTTTTCTTTCTTCTTTGTTTATCAAACAAAAACAAAGAGAGTTTCAGAGCTTCGGAGTTTCTGCCGGCCTGTCTGTGTTCAGTGTGTTCATTACCTGTCCCTGTTCTGCAGCACAGCGTAATAAGACAGCATGAGGGGCAGGAGCAGGTAGGATAGGATTCTTGCAGGGAGTCCAAACATGTTCAGATAAGTCATCACGTTGCTCAGCAACACTGAAACGCAGACATGAACAAAGATAGCTTTGCAAAGGCAAAGTGGAACAATATGAATGTTCTGGTTGAGTTTCTACTGAATCATTCATCGTTCTGTTGACATCACATTGACAAACTGACCAACGTCAGATTTCATTTACATTGCTATGAAATTGCTATTTCCCTATTAGTAATATTTGTGCCTGCGAGTGTGTTCAAAACATGCCGTTTTTCACAGTATCAAAATGGAGAGGAGGATATTGTGCAGCTTCCTGTGTGGTCGAGTCGCTCATCTGAATGGTTCCGTTGTCTATAAAAGATGTCAGCTGGGTCGTCCCGTTTTCCAGCTTCTTCTTCTCCTCTTCATCTTTCATGGTTTCCAGATGAAGCCATGTGATATTCTGATTAACGCTAAGTGGCCCTTGGGACAGTTTTGAACATGAGAGAAAGGAATTAAAGAGAAAGTTAGGTAGATTAAGTTTAGTCAAGAAAAACTGTTTGTTTGTTTGTTTGTTTGTTTGTTTGTAACTAGCACCTGACTCACCATTACTCTGAAGGAAATGAACAGCATCTTTGTAGCCACTGTGAAAGGCTTCCTCCATATTCTGGAGAGGAAAAAATGACATAAACATAATTAAATGTGACACAATGAAATGAAAGATCAAAAATAATGTAATGTTTTGTAGCATAATGTTTAATTTCCTTTGCTATATTTCTAAAAATGTTAAACACAAACTGCTACTATTACACAATAATAGATTGAGGATAGAGATGGGGATACAGGCAGTATAGGATATGGCCACATATAGTTTGGGTCTGACCTCCAAAGTTGGGTAAATGGCATTGATGAACCTGAAGCTGTTGTCTAAATTGCCCTTTAAAGTGACACCATGCGTTACAATGTCCAGCCAACATGGTGCGTCGCCAGGGCAGATGTCACTCTCTCCAGAAAATGGGCACACGGTCAGTGTGCGACTGGAGGATCCAGGCGCTATAGGCTGAATGCCGCTTAAGCCACCATCCAAATAGAACTGCAGCAGAGATTAACATTTGGGATTTTTATTTTGAAAACAGGGCTCACAAGGTGCGTGGAGGGAAGTTTTGAGGCCACCAAATACTCACTACTCCTTTGAATGATGGAGGTACAAAACCACAGTAACCAGGCAAAAAACAGCTACAAAGCAGTGCCTGAACACAGCACACAACAGTTTTTAGTCAACATAGTTATTAAGGTTTGTTTTTTACTTTTCTTATTTCTGAGCTCCAAAACAGCAGAGCAAGCGTACCTGTACTACATCTTCTTTGGAGTCAAAATCAGACATGAGAATTTGCTCGCCATCCGTCAGACGGGTCATGGTAACAGCAAGGCGACGGTTGGCCAGTTGGTGCGCATTAGGCGGAAGATGCTTGTTTAAAATACATTCCAGCCAGTGAAAAAGCTTGACTGAGGGGTTCAGTGGTCCAAGGGTAAAAGACTTCACTTCCTTGGCAAAATGAATCATCTCATCCCGAATGGTAACTGTGAATTAGAGGATTGGGGGAATAAATGTGTAATGAATACATCCAACAGAAGTCATTGCAGAACATAAGAAAGAGTCACTTACTTAGATTCATTTCACAAACCACAGCAGCTGCTACCAGAGAACCAGCAGATGAGCCAAGGATGCTAGGTGCGGAGTGAAGTATCCAGGGTGCATAATGTAGGAAGCACTGGGCGACGCCTAACTGGTAGGTGGCCAGGAACCCTGATCCAGAAAAGGAGATGGACTGAGGACCTTCAGTGTACTGATAACTGGAAACTCCGGGGGTCATTTTCAATGATCTGTTTAAATATTGTAAATGGAGAAAAACTTTTTTTTTTAATGGAGAACAAGCTAAGGCGAACTTAGATGAACTATCCACTCAGATCTTGGGAGAGGGTTTCACAGTCAGTGTTTTTAAATCCATTGCAATTAGACATAGCATGTTGGTCACGCTCATGTGAACAGGGGTAAAACAAGGATTTCTAATGTTGGGAGGTTGTGTAGCTCCATGGTTGCAATGCATAAACCAAAATACTTTCGCATATATACTATTTGAATAAAAACACTTTAAACAAGATGAGAGAAGGTGGAAAGTTTTACTGAGTGCACATAAACTGATCAACTCCCAGCTGTTGCCAATAAAACGTTTCTGCGATACATTCTTCTGTTCATCAGTATCATATATAAGAGTGATAGTCAATATTTAATTTATAATTACTTGACTGATATTTCAGAGTATACAGGGAGTGCAGAATTATTAGGCAAATGAGTATTTTGTCCACATCATCCTCTTCATGCATGTTGTCTTACTCCAAGCTGTATAGGCTCGAAAGCCTACTACCAATTAAGCATATTAGGTGATGTGCATCTCTGTAATGAGAAGGGGTGTGGTCTAATGACATCAACACCCTATATCAGGTGTGCATAATTATTAGGCAACGTCCTTTCCTTTGGCAAAATGGGTCAAAAGAAGGACTTGACAGGCTCAGAAAAGTCAAAAATAGTGAGATATCTTGCAGAGGGATGCAGCAGTCTCAAAATTGCAAAGCTTCTGAAGCGTGATCATCGAACAATCAAGCGTTTCATTCAAAATAGTCAACAGGGTCGCAAGAAGCGTGTGGAAAAACCAAGGCGCAAAATAACTGCCCATGAACTGAGAAAAGTCAAGCGTGCAGCTGCCAAGATGCCACTTGCCACCAGTTTGGCCATATTTCAGAGCTGCAACATCACTGGAGTGCCCAAAAGCACAAGGTGTGCAATACTCAGAGACATGGCCAAGGTAAGAAAGGCTGAAAGACGACCACCACTGAACAAGACACACAAGCTGAAACGTCAAGACTGGGCCAAGAAATATCTCAAGACTGGTTTTTCTAAGGTTTTATGGACTGATGAAATGAGAGTGAGTCTTGATGGGCCAGATGGATGGGCCCGTGGCTGGATTGGTAAAGGGCAGAGAGCTCCAGTCCGACTCAGACGCCAGCAAGGTGGAGGTGGAGTACTGGTTTGGGCTGGTATCATCAAAGATGAGCTTGTGGGGCCTTTTCGGGTTGAGGATGGAGTCAAGCTCAACTCCCAGTCCTACTGCCAGTTTCTGGAAGACACCTTCTTCAAGCAGTGGTACAGGAAGAAGTCTGCATCCTTCAAGAAAAACATGATTTTCATGCAGGACAATGCTCCATCACACGCGTCCAAGTACTCCACAGCGTGGCTGGCAAGAAAGGGTATAAAAGAAGAAAAACTAATGACATGGCCTCCTTGTTCACCTGATCTGAACCCCATTGAGAACCTGTGGTCCATCATCAAATGTGAGATTTACAAGGAGGGAAAACAGTACACCTCTCTGAACAGTGTCTGGGAGGCTGTGGTTGCTGCTGCACGCAATGTTGATGGTGAACAGATCAAAACACTGACAGAATCCATGGATGGCAGGCTTTTGAGTGTCCTTGCAAAGAAAGGTGGCTATATTGGTCGCTGATTTGTTTTTGTTTTGTTTTTGAATGTCAGAAATGTATATTTGTGAATGTGGAGATGTTATATTGGTTTCACTGGTAAAAATAAATAATTGAAATGGGTATATATTTGTTTTTTGTTAAGTTGCCTAATAATTATGCACAGTAATAGTCACCTGCACACACAGATATCCCCCTAAAATAGCTAAAACTAAAAACAAACTAAAAACTACTTCCAAAAACATTCAGCTTTGATATTAATGAGTTTTTTGGGTTCATTGAGAACATGGTTGTTGTTCAATAATAAAACTATTCCTCAAAAATACAACTTGCCTAATAATTCTGCACTCCCTGTAGAAGGTTCTGCACTGGAGGCTAATGGGACTGTTAATGTCTAAGATTAAAACACTCGTTTTGTTGAGTTGTGACCTTTACTTCAGTCGTGTTGTTAATGTGGTGAGGTTTCTAAAGTTGGAAACAGTGATTTAGCATCACCCAGGCTCCTGTAGCAATTACTGACTTCCGCCTGATCTTTACGTCATGCAGTGTTGCCTGTTGGACACAGGAGTCACATGAGATGTCTGACTCCTGACAGATAATGTTACTATTGTCTGCAAGTAGGCGACTCTTGACTTTCTTAAAATTAAATTAACCTCTTAAGCTCCAAGCCTAACTGATCTCCTGCCTTTTGCCCTCGTATCAGGAGGCGTTGGGGCTTAAGAGGTTAATTTGGTGTATGTGTGTTGTGTACCTCATTAAGCATTATACACCAATAATAAACTAGCTTTTCTAACTTTCTTAACTTTACTTTACTTGGTACTTTACATGCATTTTTTAAGCAAAGCTGACTTATTTTTGCAGTGTTGGATATTAGAGGAGACATTGATGTAATGTAAGCTGCTCTGGTATTTTGCTCAAACCATGCCAGCTAACTAGACAGTTTCAAATGAACTTAATCTCAATGTAACAGCTTTTATACTATTTGGATCAAATCGACATGTTGAATAAGTAAATTATCGAACTGATTTGCATTCAGGTGGGGACAAAAAAAGCTGAAATGTCAGTTTACAGTCTACGTCTGTGCTGCCATCTGTCTGATCTGTTTAATTAACATCAAACTGACAAAGTGGAGATGCATATGTAAGCCTGTGAAACACTCTACACAAGCCTCTATTTTACGAATTCTACAGCTCCAGCTGAACAGAGTTATTGTACCTAATAGGTCAAAATGTTTTTAGGCCCATACTGTAAAAACTGCATTGTCAAAGATGGGTGTAGTAAAAGACGAGCATCCGCAGATGACGAGTAAATCAGCCATGGCTCAGCCAGTCTTGTTTAAGGCCTGTCTTATAACATGTGGTGACTTTTTGTCTTTTCCTTAAAACTAAAAATATTCAAAAGCTGAACCACTGTAGGAAATACGAGTATTTGAATCATTGAATTGTAAATCCTATTAAATTTACAACAGCACCCCCTGCTGGCAAAATTCAGACCATTCAACTGTCATGATTGAATATTGCAATTGTTTAGCAACGATCTATTTTTGTCCCGACGTTTGGCTTGTCATAAGAAGTTAACGTTATCATTTTCATCTCAGAAAAACATTTATATGAAATGTTTTATCAACATATATAATTGGGATAGCTCAGTAGGTAGAGTGGTGGCCCCATGATCGGAAGGTCGGGGGTTCAAATCCACTGAACGGCTGCCCTGAGGTACCCCTGAGCGAGGTACCGTCCCTACACACTGCTCCCTGGGTGTCCAGTGGCTGCCCACTGCTTCACAGAGTGAATGGGTTAAATGCAGAGAGAAATTTCCCCTCAGGGACAATAAAGTATACATTAAAATATTTATTTTTCCAAAGCAAGTTCAATGCAAACTTTTCACACACACACAATGAAACACCAAATACTTAACCTACGGATAGAAAAAGCTGCTTTCCACCACTGGAAAAAATAACAATTTGTAGAAATCCCAATCTGAGCTACGCTGAAGATTTCAAGGTATTACTACGTAAGCTGAAACTTTCAGATACCGTACCAAAAATGGGAGATAATAACCTGACATTTTGACTTATTGATGGCAATTTTTTTCTAGTGGTGGAAGCAATCTTGCATATTAACCAGCATTCAAAACAAAAACAGTTATTTATCCTCTCTTATGTTATTAAACTCGTATTGGACTGTAGTCATTTCCAACCCATAGCTGCAAGACCTGTAAAGTTTATGAAAATAACTCTGTTAAGTGATTATATTGAACAAAGCAGATAATTTTAAGTTTTGCTGGCTGGATAATTCTGTGATTAATTTCACAGTTTTCCTCACTCTTAATATTAGTGTTTACCCAGATCACAGTTATACACACATTGATTCAGAGAAAAAAAAATAAAAATAATCTCACAGTAAACAACACAACTGTGTTTTTTCAGACTGTACATGCATTTTTTCCTCCCCTGAAAGCTCAAACCACGAGATAAATATATTACAACCTCCTATTTTATTCGGTAAGAGCCGTGCTGCTACACATGATCCACGGTTTTATTCTATCTCACTGGTGCACCAGTCGGAGGAGGCTGTGGAGACGTCCGATCAGGGGAAACCTCAAAATGGTCTTCAGAGAACTCTTGTGTAGGACTGGAGTCCGGGAAGTCGCCATCGTGAGGTGGAGTGTGCTCCAGGGCGCCGGAAGCCTCAACCTGCTGTTTCTTGATATCTTGAGGGAGTTTCAGAAACCTGAATGGAGGCGACGAACAGGCAGGAAGGATGAGTTTGAATGTTATTTAAGAGGAAAATAGAAAGCGGATGACAAAGAAAGGAGCAGAGACGAGACCTGAAAAGGAGTTTTTGTCCTCTTTCTTTTTTGATAATGTTCAGTTTGTAGTAATGCCGTAAAGCCCGAGACATTTTCTCATAGGTCATATTTTCTCGGTTCTGTAAAAAGAGATCATGCATCATTAGTCATGCAAGTCACGCACTACATTATTCACTTTTCCCCAATGTTCCCTGCTTTTTTCTGTTTTGTTTTATTCTCCACCTGTGTAGCCGTTTTTCCTGATGGATGAAGCACAGAGAACTGGGAACTCACCTTGTGGTTTCCCCAGAGCCGTGCCAATCCATTGGGGTCCACCACCCTGAAAACCAAGCTGTCCGGATCTTCCCATCGAATGTATTCTTGGTAACGGTCATCACAAAGCAACTGATACACATAGTCCCACAGCAGCCTGCACTCTGGCCATGATTAGAAGAGTAATAACACACGTGTTGGCAGAACTTACATTACTGTCATTAAATATACGTATTTAAAGTTCAATTCAGTACTATTTAGTATATTTCTCACTCTCAGTGCCATGTTCCAATAAACACGTATATAAATGGCGTGGTCACAAGTGTACATGCACTAATCATGTGGATGAATGCCACGGTCATTTACATCTTTTAATGATTTATTCGACCCGTTCTTGTACAGCAGACATCTTTAACCACTTTAGAAAACAAGAACTAGGTACACAAGTTTATATTTATTTTAGGTTCTCTCTAATCCACACAGGGTCAACAGTATATATACACAGGCTCACTAACATATAGTTGAATGTCCCACAGCAAGATGCATTTAGTAGCCATCAACAAGCCACTTACCATTCATCTTGGCAGAAATGGTCAAATTCATGTAAATTGGTTGGTTTCCTGGTTTTAAGAGTAGTCGCACTGTTCGAATAACTTGTACTTACACACACTTGCTGATAATATTGGAATCTGGAGTTGTTTAGAAATATCAAGAGACCTTCTGAAGTTCTATCTGTGTTCTTTCTTTTTTATTATTTTGGTAAAGAGAAACGACCAACTGTAGTTAAACAACACTGCAGGACTTTCATCACCACTTATTAAGAGATTTAAATGAATGTATGTATACTTTTCTCCCTGTGTGGATCAGAGAAAGTCATTAAAGATGTATGTTGTACAATCATTCCACCCGGACAAAGAACAGTTCAAAGAAAATCATTAAAAGCCTCAAATTGCCACGACATTCGCGCTCATGACGAGGAAACTTCTCACCACAAGTGTACCTGTAAGCCTGACATTAACATATCATTTTGAGCCGTCATTTAGACATAACAAAAGAATAAAATAGCCAACTATTGAATATTTAAAGCGCAGGTCCACTTTTGGGTTATTGCTTCAGGATGTTGTGTCTGTTTTGCTCTTTACCTCACAAACAAATCCAACGTGTTGGACTTAAAATCGTTTCTAGGAAACTGAGTGTGTTCATGTTATTGGTGCATTTGCTGATTGTATATAAAATGCTGTTTATGATATATGAGATTTTTTTTCTTCACTTTTTAAAGAGACACGGTTTTAACAATTCTGTGTGTTTTCTGTGATTAAATACATGAAGAGCACAATAGACAACAAATTATTGTAACAATACCTGGGATGCGACCGTTTGCCTTGTGCAGCGGACTCCTTGGCTTATGTCGACTGGAGAGGTTCAGAGGCTCCGGGGTGATGTTCTTCGTTTGGGGATTACACTCATCCCGATTGTGGTGCAATGTTGAGGTACCCGCTGATCCGTCTGAGAGACACAGAAGGCAACAAGGAAATGAAGCCTCTGAAACAGTAGGAATTGCAGGACAATTTCCTTCTGCTAGGGCCATTTGTCATACTCACTCTTTTGTGTGAGTGGCGCAGACAAGGTGTAACAGATGGGGCGATCTGTAAGGGCTGACACTGATTTTGGCTGGCTGCTTACAGTGGCCCCGACAGCAGCCACAGCGGTGGTGAAAGCGGGTAAAACTGTGAGTCAGAAATATGAGGAAATGTGAAACGCTAAAGTGAAAGTAAAAGTGACTTTACAGCCACATGAACATTTTATAATATCAGGCTTAGCACAAGCTAATGTTTAACACAGAGACTGTTTTACTTCTAGCAGACAGAGCGCAGAACAAAGTCATTGTTCTGAACTTGAGAGTTAAAGGATCTTTTTTTCCAGGAAACTGCAGACCATTGGCCAACACATTCTTTTTCTGGGAAAGATTATACAGTTGTTTTGCTTGACAAACGTTTGTGGGTGTGTGTCTTTGTGTAGTGTACGCATACACCATTTATGGTTCTGGTACTTCAGCATTTCCATTTCTTCATCATTATAAATTATGTGATAACTGCTTAACACTCTGGCATATGGAGATGTAATTAGGTGAGCAAATAAAATCAGTTTTTGCAGAGAAGTCAATCAAAGTAGCCAACCACAAAATAATGAGGGTTTATTTCATCTTTGCCAGCGAATCACTATTCCTCACATGTGAAGAAAAAGCACAGAGCAAAGGAAAACATTTCAGTTAGGGGTGAGCAAACATTGATTAACGTCAGTCTTTAAATTTGGGGGATAAGAAGTCAATGGATGTCCTCACATGTAGCGTAAAACAAAAGTGGGAAAGAGAAAGGATTCCCACGTGATATGTTTGCACATGTGGTAGATCAGGAAGTATTCACACCCACGATCCAACCAGAATAAACGAGTTCTTATGTGGATACAAATGTTCCTGAAGACTAGAGATCCTCCTAAAACTTTACAAGACGCAGAGCCTCTGATGAGAACCAAACCAAAGGTGCTTTTATCTATTATTCTGTACACAGACCAACAGGTAATGTTCAGTGTGTCCAATCATGGCCACATTCACATCTAAACAAAAACATTTCTCTCTCCCTGTGTGTCTTTGTTGAATTACTGTACACAACACACTGCTACGTTTCTTGTCATTTCTTTAAATTTTACTCTATTTTTTATTTTTTTACGTTCTATTGCTGATCTAATGCATTTTCTTTTTTGCCCCATGTAAAGCACTCTGAGTCTACAACTTGTGTACAAATAAATCTGTCTGCCTTTACACTGAACCGTAGTATAGCAGTATATATATTTATAAATGTACTCCTTAATTTTACTCACCCGGGGTGCCACTGACTTTGGGAGACTGTGGCTCTTGGACTGTGTGAGCGATTACCTGGCAGCTGACTGGACCCTGAAGGTGTCCAGCTGCCACGGGAGGAGTTGTGTTAGGCGGGTCACATACCACACTCCTCCTCTGCTGCTTCACACACTGAAGGATCTCATACAGAACATCACCTGCAGAAAAATGAGGGATTTCATATGAAAATGCAGCCACGGAAACAGGTGACTTCTATCTACTAACTCATGTCCACCTGAGCTGGGGCAGCGGCGTCTGAAGTCCTCCTTAGTGAGGAGACACAAGGCTCTGCCGTTCATCTCAAATCGGCCCTTCTCCGGCCGGCGCAGCGAGTACTCCTTTTGAGCCCAGTGGAGCCACAGGGAAACATCATCTTTATCCCACAGGGACGGGTTAATTCCTGGAAACAATAAATGCATAATTTCAAATCTAATGTGCTTGCAGAAGGTGCTGCATATGTGTGTTTGCAGTCATATCTGCAATTAATATTAACAGATAAGTAGAACAGAGAGGATAATTTAACTCACTCAGCCTTCCAGGCAGATGCCACAAGTCTTCTTGAGTGGGAGGACTAACCAAAGGATCTTGGGTAGGTGGGGAGTGATGCACAGTGGGATAAATGTTGACTTGCTTTTCACGTACAATCGATGGAGGACTGTTTTCTTGCTACAAAACATCGATACAAATGGCTATAGTCACAGTACTCAGCAGTTTTGGAGCAGCAATGCTGAGCAACAGAGAGCATAAACAACAGCTGCTGGTCACCGTCCAACGACTAAGGCACGAAAGCTCAAACAAAAACTGAGTCGGATTCCAGGTTTGTGGTTTTAGACCACAGGCTTTAAAAGATTTGCCCCCGAAAGACTAACTTACCTTGATCAAAGGTGACGGGGAAACGCTCTCCATGGAGATGTCCTTTAATCTGCTCGACTGCACAGAAAATAGAGGGATTTCCTCATGAGCAGAATGAAAACAAACTTCGGGTCACGTCTCAAACAAAACTCACTTTTAAACGAACACACTCGAAGATTTTTTTAAACGCCACTATTTTCACAATCAACCCTTCCGGGAAATGAAAACGAAAGAAATATAATCCCTGCAGGGGGGTGTGTGCAAAATAGGATGATTGGAGGAAGCAACGACAGAGGACATTTCCAAAACCTTTGACTGCACTTGTTTAGACACGCAGCAGTATATTTACAGAAGCGCTGCAGCAGACGCTCTCGTTCATAAATGAAATGCGGGTGGAGGGAAGGTGACACCTATTTTTGTTTTATTTTTTGAATAGGTTTTATTTCTCTTTCTTTCTTTTTCGCTATTACGCAATACATACATGAGCGGTAACCCGTGTGGCCAGAAAATACAAGAAAACTACAGGAAGTGGTCGATGATAAGAAGTGCCAGAGAGATACTTAAGAGGTGTAGGACACCCCGGAACGGAGCAGCGCGTGCGCCGATGAAGCACAAGCTCCTCCCACTACCAGGAAGACTAAACTGCGGCGTGGCTGAGAGCCCACGAGCGCTGACTGTAAACGAAAGTAGGTAAGCGCTTTATCCGGGCAACTGGCACCGAGAGTCAGAGGGGCAGCCATGTTGTCCTGTACCTGTGTGGACTGCGTGCTGCGCGAGGGCACCGTGTCAGCTGTTTGGATTCTCCTGAACGGAGAAAAATGATGGCCCGATACTCTGAGTCTGTAAATCTACAAGTTTCAATCAAGTGCTCAACTTTAATTGGTTATTCAGTAATAACAATGTTAATAAACTTCTACTTTGCTTTAAAACAAATCAGCGGATTAAACATTAACTGCGCAACAAATAATGATAAGCAAAGTCCAGCCACACTGTGAGGGCGAACCATGTATAACATGTTACACCGAGTCCTCACGTTGAACACCGCTGAACCTGAAAGCAGAAACTTTTAGCCAAATATTTCGTGTTTTCTTCAGTCATGTGGGCTGAACCACTGGGGAAACAGCTGGGCCGTCCCACGCGATCACTTGCAGGGTGGTTGGTGAGCAAGTGGCTCACAGCTTACAATCAGGTCCTGGAGGAGAGTGCTGTGCAGCTGTGTGCCATCCAACCCGGGGACACTGTGCTGGAGCTGGGTCATGGCCCCGGTCTGGGTCTGCAGTCTGCAGCCAAACTGCTCACGGGCCCCACAGGCCACCTTATAGGGGTGGATTACTCAGAGTACATGCATCAGGTGAGGTAGAAAGAGTGGAACAAACAAGTCAAATTCAAGTTTATTTAATACATGTGGGTTGTTACTGTTACAAAGAGTGTCTTTGAAAAAGAGTTTTGTAAAAGCACACAGCTTTGTTGTGGCCTCTTCAGCCTTGCTAAAGCAGACACATTGCAAGCCTTTAAAAAGAAAATGCATTATTTCGGAGAAAATACGCACACTGGCCACTTATTTCATTACTTCACTGGCACCAGCTTCAGAGCTGCCTGAGTTATCTGTGTCATAAATTCAACAAGGTGCTGAAAACATTTCTTTGATTTTGGTCCATATTGACATGAGGGGAAAAATCACATTGTTGCTGCAGATTTGGCTGCTGGACACCCATGAAGTGATACCACCATATCTCAGAGGTATCCTCTTAAACTGAGATGATGTGGAGGCCATTTAAAGTCAGAATGAAACACTTGATGTTTAAAATCTAATTTAAAATCTCCCAAAAACTAACATAGATGTAACACTGTCTGTGTAGCTGGATTTAAGAAATAAGAGCTTAAAGTTTTTAAAACACGTTTAGCGCCATCATGTGTCAGTGGAGAATGTGACATCACTAATGTGCTGATGTCTCCACTGATGCTGTGAGTTTATGCCAGCTAATTATTAACAGAACCAATAACTCATAATGAGACTAAAATCAGTTTAAGGGGTCACCTTTGTGCTGCCCGTGGCTGCAACAATGAGTTTTACGTTAAAACCAAGGATTCTGAACCTAAATGCCACAGCAGAAATCATGAACCATCAGACCATGCAGAGTTTTCCAATCTTCTATCAAGCCCATGCAAATTAGCGTCTACTAGTGAACAATGTCCTGTTCTGAACTGATCGCACCTGGTGTGGTCTGGCCCAGCTTCTTTAAGGTTTGATGTGTTGTGCGTTCTTCTGCATACCTTGGTTGTATATTAAGTAAATAAATAAAAATCAAGCACTGCTGAGCAGGCAGCTAAGACCTAAGCTGCTAATCAGGGACAATATTGTAATTCTTCTGTGTCTGACAGATGGCAAAGAAACAAATGATGGAACTTATAGCGAGTAAAAAGGTGACGCTCCACCACTGTGACGTAGCAGCAATGCCTCTCAGAGACAGCACTGTGGACAGAGTCTTTCACTGTAACTGCTACTACTTCTGGCCTGATCTTAGAAAAGGAGCCGCAGAAATACACCGGGTGATGAAGCCAGGTAATGCCATGGCAGTCAGGCAAACTTGATTTACAGATTTAGTTCCAAAACATGTCTTTAAATAATGATTCTCAAATTGAATTTCCCCATCTTTTTAACCCACCCAGGAGCCCTGATGGTCACAACTCTGAGGCTTTCTCGTGTGGCTACGATAGCAGCGAAGGGGGTGATGCCAGGGGAAAACTGGCGCCCAGAGGCCTACATGGCAGCTCTGAGAGACTCCGGCTTCACTGATGTCAGAATGGAGGACAAGCAGGACAGAAACATTACTTTTCAGGCTATCTTTGCCACTGCCTTCAAATAAGATACTTATGCAATTATGAAGTTTAGTGTGATTACATCAGTCATTAATGGTCTTCCTTTTGAAGATGGATAAACTTGAACTTATCATAATGATAAACATATACAGATGAGAAGTTTTATATCATTTTCTGTCATTCCCTACGTGCAATGTTCTTACATCAGTACCAGTATACAGTATGGTGATTTTAAAACTTCAAAACAGCATTACTGTGAAAAGTGGAAACAAAACATAATGAAGAACTCTATGGAGGAACCCAACTGTATGAATGTGTAATCATGCAATAAATGGAAAACAGGAATGAAAGAATTAGAAAGAATAAAACACACAAGATGATACCAAAGAGTTATAGTGCTTCTGCTGTCGAAATAAAACAAAACTCATGGTGTCAGCTCCACCAAGAAAGTGATATATTTGGTAGCGTTGGGGTGTGTGTCATTTTGTCCTTAAACACGATAGCTCAAAAGCTTTTGAATGAATTCTGATCAAACTTTGCAAAGTGGGGACGTGTTAACAATCCATTAATAATTACTTCACATCCATCAACTTAATAATTGATGGATGTAAAGTCCACAAAAAGCATCTTAAAAGATTTTAAAATGTCATATCATAACTGACCTATGTCCTTCAGGGTCAACAGATGGATCTGAAGGTCCAAGTGATAATGTGATATCAAGTTACTTATTACAGTTATGTTTCTTACTGTCATATAGACATACAGGCATTTAATTATACATGGGGATTATAAATATCGCGTTACTTTGGACCTCTGTCTTCTTCTTCGAGGTTAAATAAGGTCAAACTTTAATAAAAAAATAAAGTCTACTGCACTTTTGCACTGGTAACATTTGGGAAATGATACTGTTATATGGGGTCAGTATCACATTATAGTTTGCTTCCAAATATAATTTCATATTTGACCTCTGATCTCGCTTTTACATTTCACCTGTGTCTTCTTTTCATTCAAGTTTACCCAAAATGCCTATATCTTTAAAGAAAGTGTTGTCAAGAAAAAGATGATGAACTGCTTTGTTAGTTAGATATACAGTAGTGTAAATTGTAGTGCAATATTAGATCACATGCTCAGGTCTTTTAAACCCTTTTTTTTTTACAAGTCAGTACCTATTATCCATTACCTACTCCTAGACAATATTTGTATAACCAAAGTATACATTTGTCATGCCACCCTTATTTGAAACCTCTTAAATTATATTTAAATAGAACAAAGAAAACTAAATTCATATATTGAAAATACACAAATATTACCTTATAAGTAAATACCGACTAGAGACCAGAGAGTCACCAGGAGATGCTTCTTGTTCCTTTTTGTAAGGCTATAAATGAAAAGTGATTTTAGTATCCTCTAAGAATCACATTTCACACATACACATGAATGGTTAGCTGCCCAGGGTTTCGAGCGGCAAGCAGAGAGGCTACTGGATTGCAAGATGATGACTGTAACACTGTTAAATTAAAAATAAAAATGATGCTGTGTTATTTGTGCGCAGAAGTAGCCTCCTGGTAGCTCACACTCGGGACCACACGGTGGCGGTAATTCATCTGAATAAATCCAACAGAAGAAGAAGAAGAAGAGCGGCGCGCGGGCGGTGCTTACGTAAGGAGAGGGAAATCCAAAACAGAGTCGATGACGCTGCTTCGCCGAGAGCTGTGAAACTGACATTTCGATTAAGATAGACAGTGATTATCAAGTGCACAGCTGATAAAAAGTAAGTAAACGAGAGGTGCGCTCCACCTGACAAGTTGTTATTAGACTTTTTGCACTAAGAAGGTGTTTATTTCTCGGCCTTCACATTAGTAAGCAAAGGCGTTAGCTCAGCATCACAAGAAGGAAGCTAACATCACAAACAAACCACTGTCTCATTGAGCAATTTGACAATAAATGTTCTACGTTTAGGATTAAATAATTACAAGCGTGTGCGGAGACTGACCCACGAACTTTAAGTGTAACGCTAATTAGCCAGCTGCCTGTTTTTCAGAATGCAGAGGGCTTCTCGTTTGAAACGTGAACTTCAAATGCTAAGCACCGAGCCCCCCCCTGGGATAACATGCTGGCAGACCGAAGATCAGATAGACGACCTCCGGGCACGTATGTACTACTGTGTCACTTAAACGACTACAGCTACACTTGCCAGGCACTTTCTTATGTGCGTTGCTAGTACCAGGTTGGACCTCTGTGTTGCCTTCACAACTATCGTAATTTTTAACTGCGGCGGTGCCCAGTGTGGTCTCTGCTCCTGCGGCCCGTCTGCTTCTAAATTTGATGCGTTATGCGTTCATCGAGGCTCTTTTGGATTGTTTCCTTCCTATCAGCTCAAACCAGCGTAGCCATTTTCCTCTGACCTCTGAAATCAGTGGGGCATTTTGACCCAGATCTCCTGCTCACTGAACATTTTTCATTTTGGACATTTCTGTGTGCATTCTAGAGATGCTTATGTGGAAAATCTCAGTAGATCAGCAGGTCCTGAAAGAGTCTGACCACCATATCTGCACTAACAAAATCACGTTACTAGCAAAGTCACTTAAATCGGCTTTCCTTCCGATTCTGATGCTCAGTTTGAACTTCAGCTGGTTGCAATGATCATGTCTATATGCCATAATGCACTGAGTTGATGCCTCGTGATTAGCTGATTGTCAGACAGTTGAACAGGTGTACCTAACAAATTGCCAAGATGCATTTACCTATACTATATACTCAGAATATTTCACCTGATTAAGATCACTCTGACATCCATTTTTGCAGTGGATCCTGTCATTAAAATATATCAAATCCATGACCATATGTTTAACCCTGTTATGTTGCAGAGATATTGGGTGGATCAGGAACTCCTTATGATGGTGGAGTCTTCTCCTTGGAGGTCAAGATTCCAGAGAGGTACTTCTTCTTTGAGCTTTAACGTCGATGGGTTTCTCTCTACTAGTTACATGTTCTCACTCCACTCTAGCAGGACTGACATGCTTTTTTTTTCTCTTAGGTACCCGTTTGAGCCTCCCAAAATACGATTCTTGACTCCAATCTACCATCCAAACATTGACAATTCAGGACGGATCTGCCATGATGCTCTTAAACTGCCACCAAAGGTTATAACAGATTTCCAGTACATAATAAACTCTTTATTTCAACACCATTACATGGTGGACACAAGGATATATGTTGCATTTTATGCATTTCAGATGTAGTGTTGTCTTTATATTTATTTGATTTTTTTTTTTCAGGGTGCCTGGAAGCCATCTCTAAACATCTCCACAGTCCTCACTTCCATACAGCTACTCATGGCGGAGCCAAATCCAGACGACCCCCTGATGGCTGATATAGTGAGTCACACATAGTGTGTTGTCCATCCTGTACGTCCAACTATCTAAACAAAAAAACAGTTTTAAAGACATTGTCTTGACTAAAATACATAGTTCAGTTTTTAATTGATTCAAATTCATCCCTGGAAATAAAAGGTATCCTAAGTCAGCGGTCCCCAACCCCCGGGCCTCGGACCGGTATCGGTCCGTGAGTCGTTTGGTGCCGGGCCGTGAGAGTAGAGGCTCAGGTGTGAAATGTATGGTTTTTATCGGTTTTCAGCGTTATTTTGTTATCGTTTTTATCGTTAACTCGGTTTTCCTGGGTCTTGTCACGTGTGTTATGAATAACTCTAGTTTTACTAGTTTTATTTTGTTGTATTTAGCTGCGACACCTTAAAGGCCGGTCCGTGAAAATATTGTCGGGCATAAACCGGTCCATGGCGGAAAAAAGGTTGGGGACCGCTGTGCTAAGTAATTAAAGGCAAGTCCGGGAGTGTGGTAAATGCCAAAATGACTTGTTTAGATGCAAGTCAAAAACCCCTTTAAGCTAAACCTGTTGGGTTAGAGAGCAGCTGTGTTCAGCTGTAGCACAGTGAATGATTCGATAATCCAACTTTATACTTTTATCTATTTTTCCCGTAATTTAGTCATCGGAATTCAAATACAGCAAACACCTGTTTATGGAGAAGGCCAGGAAGTGGACACAAGAACATGCCGTCCAGAAGAATTCTGTGAGTTACTAAGGACTTATATAATATAATTATAATTATTAATCATTTAATGTAATTACACTCTGACTGCTGCTCTATTCTTAGTCACATGATTCCTGTCACTTGCTCCACAACAATGTTAATGTATTAGTTTGTGTGCACTGTTTTATTTGACCCACATGGTTGTGCTGTGCTCCTGCAATAGAACATTATAGGCCGAGCAAATAGAACTTGTTTATTTGCAGTCGCATTAAAGTGAAAATAACCTCCTTGTAATTGCACTGATTTCTTTTGCATTCTGTGATTGGGGGTTGAGGGTGTTGCATACTCGACCTCTGGACAAACCTCAATTGTAAGGTGACTGCACAGATTGCCTAGAGGAAAGCAACTTGTCCAAACAATTCAGATTGACTGTAATCACTCCCAGAAAGATTGGCAAGGTTTTGCAAATATTTGCTCTCTAATCTATAAACACAGAGAGATTGCTAGCATGTGACAGCTGATTTAAGTTAGTTAGTCAGTCAGAGCAACTGAGCTGGCAATTGTTACTGTATAAAAGCAAAGTTGTCAAGCACGTATGGCACTTTGCAGTTAGATTGCTGTCCTGCAGCAATCGTGTCACTTTGTGGAGGAACTTCTGAATTTATGGAAACAGGTGGCAAGAGATGTGGAATTTTGCTACTAATCTTACTACTTAATCATGACAAACATTTTGCGTGTTATTACCAGTTTGCCCTCATTCAGCTGCAAAATGGAAGGGGATCGGTTTCATCCCTTTTTTACGGCTTTGAGGATGGCAGCAAAACGTTGCTTCAGAGACTGCTTCTTCGAAGCGTTCAAATTGAGACTGCAAGGTCATTGCACATGGTTGCAACAATTTTGATCATGCTACAGTGTCCAGCCACTGTTTTCCCTACTGTATCTATAGTGTAATGGAGTGCATCATGCACATCTGCACTGCTCAGAAAAACTAAAGGAACACTGAAAACAAATCTGGCCAACCTCTGGTGGGATCCAAATATTACTCATGCTAGCAGTAGTGACACTGACCCCAGTCAAATGCAAAAGTGGTGGAAAAAACTGAGACAACATGTCATGAGGGTGCGCTACATTTTCACCTGTAGTGCACCTGTATATAATTTCATTAACAACCCCCTCTGCAGTTGAACTGACTCGATGATTTTCTGGTTTAGGAGGAGTAGGGTGTTTTGTTTTTTAATGCATTTTTTCTCCCCAGGGTGTTGTAGATGGCAACAAAGAAAATACTCCTGATCAGAAAGCATCAACCCGAAAAAGAGAAGCGCACAGTGTGCAGCAGGAAGCAGAAGATCCAGCAAAGAGAACCTGTGTGTAGTTTCCACCTCACCTGAGAAAACTGCCACCTTGTTAGAACTGTGGTATTAATTTTATACACAGATGTAAGACTTGTCTTCCTGTTTTTAAATGTATGTGGATGGCTGTATGTATAATGTGCGTGCTTGTGTTGTGACATTAAAGTTTCATTTTATTAATGTATTTCAGAGTGCCTGGACTTCTTGTGTAGTTTGGAGGTGTCTCCGATCTGTAACATAAGTGCATACTTGAGTGTGTATAGTATGAAGATGATGATTTTATTCAAAAATATGCTTAACCAGTTGTATACAAAGTATGTACATCCTAAATAGTACATTTGTTTTTACAAGCTAAGGATTTATTTCTTATAATATAAAATTATATAATTGCTGTTTATAAAAAGGGGAGACAAACATCATAAGGCTGTAGTGAGTCAATACCATGCTAGTTCAGAGGTAGTTATATTGTATGTACATAATGCTAGCCTACTCTAAAGTCTGTAAGAAAAATACCTACATCCCATTCAGTCTCTATGACTGCTTGCCTCCTGTTGGATAGAGTTGCTTTTCTTGAGATCAAACCATGTAAACCATATGAAAATAGATGTGCGGCCCATTTCCTGTGGCGCTTTGCTGCCGTATAAAGAGTAGCATTTTTACAACGACCTTTGTATTATACAGTTGCATAGTACAATATGACAATGACATCTGTGGAAGAAAACTTAGCTTACACTGGCTGTCGTGTGTGTGAGTGATGAGGAGTCCCTTTTTTTTTAAACAGACCTTAGCAATAGGATAGAATTTGTATTTAAACAAATAAATGGCTCCACCTATAAAAGAACCAAACTACCTGCATCTTCTGAGTTGGATTTTTCATCAGTTTTCAGTATAAACAAAGATCTATTGGTGCTACCTAAATTCCCCACAGGCGAAATCGCTGATTTGTCCAATGCTTACATTTTCCATGTGGATTTGAACTGTTCCCCATGACTCAGTCCACTGAAATGTCTGAAATTGTCCTTTATATAAAAAGCAATGTCATTGTCCTATTCAATGTCCTTGAATAGTCTTTTCTGTGAAAGGACCTTGTAGTCCCGCTCTCCACTTTCAGAGGCTCTTTGTTTTCTCCTCAGCTTCTCTGCAC